TTTAAAAAGATAATCGAAGACGGACAAGTTTACTATGTTTGTATACTGCAATTTTCTTGTTTTACTAAGTACAACCGTATGCAGTCAAAACATAAACAAAAAAATTGTGAACATAGCAGACGAAACTCTTACAGATTACAGATTTCTCAGTAGGTATCACTATACTAAATCAAAGAATTATTTAAAAAGACGATATCGAATTCCCATGTTTATTGGGACACCCTGTACTAGTTTTGTCAGATGGCAATTTTGCATTTTTTTTTAGTGAAAAGAATATAAAGTAAACCAACTTTCTTGACTATTTAATGTGTACAGCTAATAAACCACTAGATACGCAGTTTTCTATTAACTTTTCTATAATTATAGTAGGTTTGAATTTCATTTAACTATAATTTTAAACAAAAACAAATTCTTAGTTTTGGTAAATTTTGTATTTCCTTGTTATATAGAATCAATCAATATTAGTTACTTACCATTGGATGTGATCGTTTTAATTATTCATTAATCTGTAGTTACTATAATTCTGAATGTGTGATTTAGCTATCAATCTTCAGTTTTCTATTAATCTCTTGTTCATATTCATCAGTGTTTCCTTTTAATCTCTTGTTCCTATTAATCAGTGTTTCCTTTTAGTCTCTTGTTCCTATTAATCAGTGTTTCCTTTTAATCTCTTGTTCCTATTAATCAGTGTTTCCTTTCAATCTCTTGTTCCTATTAATCAGTGTTTCCTTTTAATCTCTTGTTCCTATGAATCAGTGTTTCCTTTTAATCTCTTGTTCCTATTAATCTGGGTTTCCTTTTAATCTCTTGTTCCTATTAATCTGGGTTTCCTTTTAATCTCTTGTTCCTATTATTCCGTGTTTCCTATTAATCTTTGTTTCCTAATAATATGTGTCTCCTCTTAATCTCTTATTCCTATTAATCAGTGTTTCCTATTAATCTGTGCTTCCTATTAATCTGTGTTTCCTATTAATCTGTGCTTCCTATTAATCTGTCTGTGTTTCCTATTAATCTGTGTTTCCTATTAATTTCCTATTAATCTGTGTTTCCTATTAATCTGTGCTTCCTATTAATCTATGTTTCCTATTAATCTGTGTTTCCTATTTATATGTGTTTCCAATTAATTATTTTTTTATTTTGTTTTTAATGAGATTGTGTGGATGAAAAGGTTATTCACACAAGAAAGCATTAAGCTATAACAGAGCTTAAACTCTATACCAAAACGGAAAACTAATGGTTTCAACTTTCAAGAGATATTTCTTTAAAATTAAACAATTCCAATTCGGTTTAATGTGTTTTAAATCCTGACTTCTGCAGTTAGTTAGTCCTGTCCTCTTATCCTTTTATTTATTGTGGACTTTAGAGTCCCAGAACAAGGATATACTGAGAGAAATAGATTAAAACAGAGATGTAAGATACAATCTATTAAACTAAGCTACAGAAGTGAAATAAAATCTGATAAGGAAGAGATTAAACATATAAAATGTTTTGCCTCTTCTCATCATATCTTTCATTCTTGATTTTTCCATCGGATTTTTTTATAGATCTGATAATTAATATTTATCAATCTTATAATAGCGACATGGTAATAATTATATTTTTAGGTTGGAAAGCATCCTGAATGGACGGGTGCCAGACTTCAAAAATAAAAATGCTGAACAATTTGACCAAAAAAAAATTTTTAAAAATAAGTTTTACTTCTGTAATATCCCGAGCATATTGTTGAAAGAACTACAGAGATACAAGAATATAATTGTAGACACGACTATATAAACATTGTTTATTTTAGACACGACTATATCAACATTGTTTATTTTAGACACGACTATATAAAAATTGTTTATTTTAGACACGACTATATAAACATTGTTTATTTTAGACACGACTATATAAACATTGTTTATTTTAGACACGACTATATAAACCTTGTTTTCCGTACTTTTTCTTGTTTGATTTAACTATACTTTAATCTCAGCTAATTATTTGATAGTTTTTTTCATTTAAATGATATATTCATAATTGTATTTTGTATGTACATAAAAACAAAAAAGTTAAAAGTTATAATTTGTCACCAAAATTTGTACATTGTAATTAAATAAATCTTTATTTTCCGGATATACTCATAAGAAAAAAAACAGTATCATTGTTACGCTCTAAGATTTTGAATTAAAAAATATATATCTTGGAGCAATCATTACTAAAACTTCATAATGATTTATTTTTTGATTCTTTGTTTAGTTTTTCTTTGATTAGGAAATGTTAAAATTTATTCACATTAATACAAATTAAATTAAATATTTGTAACAAATCGCAATTCACAATGTCACAAAATAAATAAATAAGGTTTTATAGAACAATTTTTTCTGTTAGAAAAAACAATACGCAAACAGGTTTTTAATTGTTATTTCTCTTGTTTTTCAATTTATCTTTCAAAATAATAATGATAAAAATGAATATCATTTCAATAATATCATTACTATCATTTGGGGTCGAATTTAAAGAATTTTAGCCGCGGTTTAAATTTAAGTCGGGGCTCAAATATGGTTGGTTCCACTTAAAATTGTATTAAATTTTTCAAGATATAAGACGGCGCTCAATTGAAACCGGCTTTTGTGGGATTTGAGACGCGGCTTCAATTCATTTAATTCGGCCTCAGATTTAATTAAAAGAACGGAATTATAGTGTAAAACAAAAAATCAAAATGAAAAAAGGTATAGGATTGAATATAGGAATCGATTGAATGTTAATATTTCACATTTATCATGGCCAGTCGTCAAACTAAAAGCTTAATACCTTTATTATTTATTTTAAAAACCTTAGACAAAAAAAACTCAAGAAGTCAGCATTCAATGTAAAAATTGGTTTTCAAAAGTTTAAAATGTTTTTTATCTTCTAAATTCAATGGCCCATCTTAATGAAATAATAATTTATGATATTCAACATTTTTTGCTTAAATGTAGTCTAGCGAGATGATATACAGGGTGTCCCAATAAACATGGGAATTCAGTGACGACTTCGATATCGTCTTTTTAAATAATTCTTTGATTTAGTATATGTGATACCTACTGAGAAAGCTGTAATCTGTTAGAGTTTCGTCTGCTATGTTCACAATTTTTTTGTTTATGTTTTGACTGCATACGGTTGTACTTAGTAAAACAAGAAAATTGCAGTATACAAACAGAGTAAACTTGTCCGTCTTACTGTTCATCTTGCGGAGACATTATAGACACATCTTTACAGTCTTTTTACCCTTTTCATAAAATAAACTCTAGCAGACATAATAATATTATGGCTTTTAAAATTAGGTATTACAATGCTAATTCATAACAAAGACGATATCGAATTCGTCACTGAATTCCCATGTTTTTTGGGACACCCTGTATGTTGGTTAAATTATCCCTTGGGATAAACAATAAAATGAGACACAATGCCCGAATAGTTTTTTAAACAAAAATCCAAGATTTGAATATCTTTGAATGCCGTTACCGTTTAATTTTTTTATGTTAAAAATTCATTTCCTTCAGGAGACTTGTAAATAGTTTAACAACATAATTTATAAATGCCCAGAAATTCAAGTTTATCTTTATCTTGCCTACTCCTGGTCTAGGATGATTAATCTATCCAAACCATTGTCAAAGTTCTAAACTTGTTGACTAGATGGCTCTAGTATAGATGTCTAGGAAAGCCTGCCAAAGCTGGAAAAATCTGCAAATTCTTGATCTGATTTACTACTGTGGCCGTGTTGCTGTACACTGTTCAGATTCTAAACAAATGTCAGAAAATTAGTGTGATATTTAAAGCTTTGGATACTCATACTAAACTCCCTTCCCCCCCCCTTGCCCCTTTCTCTCTTTGTTTTCTGAGTCAAAGCAGAATATAGAACCTGAAGATTGGACAGTGCACCCCAGATCTTTCTAGAATACATGGACGCAGAGTATAATCTCCCGTTTGTATAGGAAGGACTTGCACGACATACAGTTAACAGACGGCTAATGGATAGATCGTTAAAATGCCTACCAGAGAACTAAGGAGGACACTGACCTCCTTCCCCATCCTTCAACACAAATACACATCCTCGGAATTCTCAGCATCACTGAGGATATCAGAGGACGCTCTTTACTCTCCAGCTGGTTTAGGAGAGACATACACACGGGTTCACCATACTCATTTGTAAACCTCATCAAGAGATTCATCTCTAGAACTGGACCAATTGCTCTCGTACCAGCCCGTCTGGACTACCCACTGGGATATCCTGGATACAGAGGAGAACTAGGATACCCAAGATACCAGATGCTGCTCCATCCTTATATTAGAGACGCTGATCTTCACAGAAAGCTCTTCACATATCTGGAGCAGCTCGAAGATCCAGTCGGACTTAGGACTCCTGGAGCAGAAGATAAACCTGATAAGCTGGAGACGCTGCTCTTTACAGACAGCTCTCCACATATCTATTGTAGAAGAACACGATGATCTTGATAAGGGAGATGCTGCTCTTCACAGATAGCTCTCCACATATCTGTTAGAGAAACAACTGAGATACCTTTGGGAGAGGAGATGCTGATCTTTACAGACAGCTCTTCATAAATCTGGAGCAGCTAGAAGATTCGGTCAAGACCTATGACTCCTAGAGCAGAAAATAAACCTGATATTGGAGACGCTGCTTTTTGCAGACAGCTCTCCACATACCCATCATAGAAGAATAAGATAATCTTGTGACAAGAGACTTTGATCTTTACAGACAGTTTTCAGATATCTTTAACAGCTAGAAGATTCGGTCAAGACCTAGGACTCCAAGAGCAGAAGCTAAACCTGATACTGGAGACACTGCTCTTTACAGACAGCTCTCCACAGACAGCTAGAAGATCCAGTCAGATTTAGAACTCCAGGAGCAAAAGCTAAACCTGATACTGGAGACGCTGATCTTTACAGACAGCTCTTCACATATCTAGAGCAGCTAGAAGATCCAGTCAGACATAGGACTCTAGGAGCAGAAGCTAAACCTGATTAGGGAGACGCTGCTCTTTACATATAACTCTCCAAATATCCGTTGTAGAAGCAACCGAGATATTTGTGGGTCAGGAAACGCTGATCTTTACAGACAGCTCTTCATAAATCTGGAACAATTAAAAGATTCAGTCAAGACCTATGACTCCAAGAGCAGAAGCTAAACCTGATATTGGAGACGCTGATCTTTTTAGAAAACTCTTCGCATATCTGTTGTAGAAATATCTGCAGGACACACAGGAAAACTTACACTTCCAGAAAACAAATGAGAACTAGGACTTCTAGGACATATAGGATAAATACAAAATATTATGAAATATCAACTATTTACGAATGCGTCGAAAAATAATCGATGACTACTGTTTGTAATATCTGAATGATTTATTTGGAATTAAATTGATTTGTTTACGATCCGAGTTGAATGTTGCATCTTTCCAAATTTGTATGGACGCTGCGTTCTTCGGTGTGAGTCGTTTTTAACAGTTTTCTCCTTATAGACGCAACAGATAGAAGTAAGATTAGTAGCGATCAAAAGCGCATTAAAGCATTATGCCATACCCCCTTTCATTTTTCGCGAACACTCCCTTTAATTATTACAAATATTTCCAATAGCATGTGGAACCAGAAACAGAAACTTTTGACTCAACATTGTTTCAAAAGCCCGACTTAACCCCTTTCTTAATCCTGTCTCTGATTGGTTAAAGTTCAATTATTTGACTGATGAGATGTAAATCTAGACATTTTAAAATCTATTAAAAATTCATTGATACTTGATAGTAAATAATCTTAATTCCATTTCATTTAAAAGTTTCCAAATAAAATTTTTTACGAATTGAATATTTTTTTTAAATATATTTTTATAGAGACTGCATGAAAGCGTATTAACAAGTGACCCTCCATGCAAAGATGGCAATTCCCGATTCACACCGGTACCCTAGAAACCTTGATCTGATTAATAATTTAGAAGATATTGTTGTTTTTCTAGGTTGAACAGTTTTAGTTCTGATAATTATGTTGTTTTCCAGTTTCCTGCAGTAGAAATGCGCAAGTTACTTTTGTAGAGAAACCACAATTAAAAATAATCAGTTTTTAAAATTACAAACATTTATATCTAATTTTAGACCAAGCTTTTCAGGATACCTTTTAATATCGGGCATTCTACCTTTAGTTACGTTTTTAGTCGCCTAAAGTAGCAATTTTGGGTGATTGGTATTTTTGGTGTAAAAAAATTTACATTATAGTTAGATATATAGATTAGTTATATCTTTATGACAGGTAAAAAGTTGAAGTTGAACTAAAAATTCAAATTCTAAAAGTTTACATTGTGAGTCTTCTTGTTTTTTCGAAAGTCTTTCCCCACAATATCTTCTCTCCAGAGATCCGGTCTGTAAACAAAAATAGGTATTTTATCTACGTTAAATAAATTTATTAATGGTGTTAAGAAGGTCGTCTTTGTTCTGTTAGAGTTACTAAATAAAGTAAATGTTTATAAAAAAGTCGCTGCGATATACAAGGTGTCCCAATAAACATTGGAATTACTTCTACATCGTCTTTGTTCTCTGCGTCATTATAACGTTAACACAATTTCAGTTGCATCTCAGTTAAAAAAATTGACATCTAAAACTACTGGACTTGGGAATTCCAAAATGTGGCATTATTTTTGTATCATCCAAATTGAAATAGAAAATCTGCCCTAATTCCCAATAATTAAATTGTTCAGATTATAAACATATAAAGTAGGCAGACTACATTTTGAAGAGCTCAGAAGACATACAATCTTTGTATGATACACTTGTTGCATTTTATCCACTAACGAAATCAAAGACGAATTTCAAGTTGTCTTTCGATTCCCATGTTTATTGGGACACCCTGTATCACAAAAAATTGGTTAGGTTAGGTTTAGATTTTGGTGTAAAGGTCTAGATCTTGGTGTGTAGGTCTAGATTTAGGTGTATAGGTCTAGATCTAGATGTGTAGGTCTAGATTTAGGTGTAAAGGTCTAGATCTAGATGCGTAGGTCTAGATTTAGGTGTACAGGTCTAGATCTAGATGTGTAGGCCTAGATTTAGGTGTATAGGTCTAGATCTAGATGTGTAGGACTAGATTTAGGTGTATAGGTTTAGATCTAGATGTGTAGGTCTAGATTTAGGTGTTTAGGTCTAGATCTAGATGTGTAGATCTAGATTTAGGTGTATAGGTCTAGATCTCGATGTGTAGGTCTAGATTTAGGTATATAGGTCTAGATCTTGGTGTGTAGGACTAGATTTAGGTGTATAGGTTTAGATCTAGATGTGTAGGTCTATATTTAGGTGTTTAGGTCTAGATCTAGATGTGTAGGTCTAGATTTAGGTGTATAGGTCTAGATCTAGATGTGTAGGTTTAGATCTAGATGTGAAGGTCTAGATTTAGGTGTATATTTAAAGATATAGGTGTATATGTCTAGATATATTTCTATATGTCCAGATATATACCTTTATGTCCAGATATAGGTGTATAGATCTAGATCTAGGTGTATAGTTCCAGATATATAGGTGTATAAGTATATATCTAAGTGTATAGGTCTAAATCTAGGTGGATAGGTCTAGATCTAGGTGTATAGGTCCATAGATCTAGGTGTATAGGTCTAGATCTAGGTGTATATGTCTAGATCTATGTGTTTAGGTCTAGATCTAGGTATATAGGTTTAGATCTAGGTGTATAGGTCTAGATATAGGTGTATAGGTCTAGATATAGGAGTATAGGTTTAGATCTAAGTGTATAGGTCTAGATCTAGGAATATAGGTCTAAATTTATGTGTATAGGTCTAGATATAGGTGTATTGGTCTAGATATAGGTATATAGGTCTAGATATAGGTGTATAGGTCTAGATATATATCCATAGGTCTAGATCCAGGTTTATAGTTCCAGATATAGATGTTTAGGTTAAGATCTAGATGTTTAGATCCAAGTTCGTATTCAAAGTGTAAGGTATACAAAGATACGGTATACAAAGTGTACGGTGTAAAAAGTGTACGGTATACAAAGTGTACAGCATACAAAGTGTTCGGTATACAAAGTGTACGGTTTACAAAGATACGGTATACAAAGTGTACAGTATAAAAAGTGCAAGGTTTACAAAATATACGGTATACAAAGTGTACTGTGTACAAAGTGTATGGTATACAAAGTGTACGGTATAAAAAGTGTATGGTACAAAGTGTACGGTATACAAAGTGTACGGTATACGAAGTGTATGGTATAAAAAGTGTACGGTGTACAAAGTGTACGGTATACAAAGTGTACGGAATACAAAGTTATGGTATACAAAGTGTACGGTGTACAAAGGGTACGGTATACAAAGTGTATGGTACAAAGTGTACGGTATGCAAAGTATACGGTATACAAAGTGTACGGTATACAAAGTGTACGGTATACAAAGTGATTATATCTCCCTTCTATTCCTTACTCCCTGGTTCTACGCTAACTAATACACGGAAAAGAGGTGAATTAAAGAGACTGTAGGTTGTCACCGGATTTCAGAAGACCCCTTCGCTTTTATAGGAGCAGTATCCGATTCACAACGGTACCCTTTAATCCTTTACCTCGTGTGCATCTATAAATGCAGGAGCACCAAACTGCTGAACTGCAGTGGGTACATGGAACCCTGGGTCTAAATTATATAAATCAAATTAGAAAATGTTTAGAAATAACAGAATCTATATTTTTATACATGAACAAACAGACAAACAAAATTATTACTTTACGTAGCTTGAGAACTTAGCTTATCATGAAAACTAAACTTTCCCCACAAAGTATACATACTCAAATAAATATATTTGAACAAAGCTAAAACCGATCCCGTGGTTCTACCAAGTTCCCCAATAAAAATTTGATGCAAATCGGTCAAGAGGTCTCTGATCGGACAATGGACATCAAAACAAACAGACTGACCAATATAGATTACTACTTTGTGTATAAATAGAATCTCATAATGTTACTTTCTGGAAATTAACGTAGAGATCAATAATTTATATTAAATATCAATGTAATACTAATATAAATTGTTGATGAACAGATTTTTTTAAGAAACAGATTTTGCTACTGGTATCAAGTAAATAAATATTCCTCATAAAAAATTGTTACGCTTTCTAAATACACTTGATTTTTTTTTTAAAAATCTTGAAATATTTGATTTCAAATTATTAGACAAAAGGCTAAAACAAAAAATAAATCGATTGCTTAATTTATTTTAATGACTTTTCATGATCCATAACTATTGTCAGTGTAAACATTTAGCACAATGAAAAACGTTAGAAAAATTGTTCACAGAATTCAGATAAAATACAGAATTCAGGTAAAATACAGAATTCAGATAAAATATCAAGAAATTAGAACTGCTTTACCTTGAACAAATGAAGTCTGAACAGGAATTAGATTTTGAACCGGGGTTGAAACAGGAAATGGTTTTTGAGCAGGAGCAGAAATTTCATGAATGGCCTGTGGAAATGAAGAACTCTGAACAGGAACCCTAGATGGTGGTGGTTGAACAGGTACTCTTGATGGTGGTTGAACAGGAAATCGTGATGGAGATGGAGCAGGAAATCTGGGAGGTGGCTAAACAGAAATTTTTTTTTACTTTACCAACAAGTTAAAAATCTCGTTTATAACAATTTTAAAACGATTTTAGGTTTTGTCCCTTTATGGAGTTTTTCTTTCACAAAATATCTGCAAAAGTATCAGAATTTTCAAAATTGAATCATTATTCACATACAAAAGTTATAATCATAACACCATTAACAGTGTTCTATCAAAATGCATTTTTTTGTAATTATGAATTTTTTGTCAATTAACAATTATTTCCTGTAATATCCAGATTACAGCCTTACAGGATACTCGAAATATGATGACTTAAAACTAGCTACTACAGGGTGTCCCAAAAAACATACAACCTGATGGTGTAAACTTTTGATATTTCGAGCTCAGATAATTTGACCTACCAAAATTCAGACGTTAACATATCTAATGCTACTACATTGCGATGCAATGCGATTAAATAGCGATTAAAAGTCAGAATTTGTGGCAAATACTCAACTCCTTTTAACAGAAAAATCTGCGAACATTTCAGTAATTTGAAGAGTACAATGAAAAATGGTAAATTGGTAAGCTAAAATTGTAAAAAAGAAAAGAGGTGCATAAAGCGCCATAAAACCCTTGTTCATAGACATTTTTAAAGAAAATTGAGGTAAATCTACATTTATTAACAAGCTTACCTTTGATTGGATTTGGTTTTGATTAAACTGATTGAAAGGGTTTGGTCTCCTAGGTCTACCCAGACCCTGAGAAAACAAACCAAAAATATTATTTCCTAAATTTTGAAAATCCTCTATGAGACCGGGGGTCCTTGATTGTGCCGCCCTTTCAAGGGGGCGTTCCTCAGCCACCCCCCGGGGTGCTGGAAAGGGTGTGGCAGATTGAAGAAAGGATATAAAAAGAAATTGTAAAAAGAAATTTCTTCTCTGCATTTTTCTGAAAAAAGTTTCATTATTAGAAACTTCAAGTGTTCCCTTTTAGTTTCAACTAAATAATTAAAATGTTTAAAATTTTCTCTTTTAGAAAAAATGCATCATGATTTACGCGTTTTAACTCTTGGATACAGATTTAAAAAGTAAAATCCTTCAAAAATCTTTATTTCCCTTTCCCGTGTAGTGTATCGGACAAGTTATTCTCTAAATGAAGAGTCTCGAAATACGTGAACAGTCTCTTTAACATAGCATAAAATGTTATCTAATTAAACAAACAAAATCAATTATAAAATCAACAAATAAAACTGTAAATATTTAAAATTTCAATTGAAAAACTTCAACCAATGAATAAAGTATTTACTTATCAAAAGATTAAATTATAAAAATATGAATTAATTTAAACAGTCATGCTCTAAACAAAATCATATGGAAAAACTTTTAACCATTATCCTTAGAGGGTACACTATCGTGAATCTGACATGCTATTCTCTAAATGAAAGGTTACTTGAAACTCGTCGCTTTAAGATTGCATGAAATGTTGTCTAATTAAACAAACAAAATCAATAATAAAATCAACAAATAAACATTTTTTAATCTCTGCAAACAAACTTAGAATTGTAAATATTTAAAATTCAATAGAAAGTTGCAACCAACAATTGAAACAAAAGTAAAATATAGTTTTCCTCCAAATGTTTACTTATCAAAAGATTTAATTATTAAAATATAAATTGATTTAAACAAAATTAGGCTCAAAATTTAATTTTATTGACAAAAAGAAAAAGAAAATTTAAAGAATTAATTAAGAATTTAAACCATTGATTGAAGTTTTGAATCAAATACAAATATTGAAAACGCTATGAATGGACTAAACCTTCGTCTGATCAAGGGTGAATGAGATATCCTTGTTAATTAGATTGTACCGTGTTGTGAATCGGACATGCTATTCTCTAAATGCATGGTCTCAAATTCGTAAACAGTCTCTTTAAATTGGATAAAATGTTATCTAATTAAATAAATATTACAAGTCATGTTATCAAAAAAAACTTTTTAAAAATCTGGCAAACAAAATTTTAAGTGTAAATATTTGAAGTTTTAATTAAAGTTGAACAATAAAAAAGTTATTGAAATAGATTTATCTTCCATATATTTAATTAAGATTTATATGAAATTTGAAGAATATAATTTTTCACAAATCATGTTGAAAAAAATAAAATTTTAAAATGATTAATTGAACATTTATCTAAACCATTTAAAATTTTGGATGAATTAATGCAAGTATTGGAAATGCTGCGCATGAGGGAATCTGTATGCAAGCAATTTTCGACGATTTGATTATCATTAGGAGTGTTTCAATATTGTTCATATAGAGGTTTATTTAGACGATTTGATTATCATTAGGAGTGTTTCAATATTGTTCATATAGAGGTTTATTTCTTATATCTAGCTTCTAGTCCTCTTTCTCAATGATCTGAAAATTCAAAATATCTCGGACTTTTTCTGCGTTTTTTCGGTTATTTTTTTTTTAATTCAAAAATAAAATAAAAAGAGGAATGAAATTTAAAATATGACCGGGCTTTTATCTAAATAAAAACAATTTTTTAACTAATATACAGGGTTACCCAAAAAGAATGAGATTTGAGAAAGTTCTGTACAATATTTTATTAGTCTTTCAGTAGTTTTAAACTAAAGAGTTACCCAATCAAAATTTGAGGCAAATCGGTCCAGGGGTTTATGTTCTATGATTGGACATCCAAACAGACAAAAAACAGAGATTACTACTTTATATTTATAGATTTCTGGTCACATGCAACTTTAAATTTGTTTCATGAATAGTAACAATGTTTAAGACAACAGACTAAAATTTAGCCTTCAGATCTTCATATTTAGGGAATATTAGATTGTAACCCTGTACATCAAAGAAATTTAATGAAATTTATTTTTTATTATTTTTTGAATTTCAATTAGGCGTTTAAACAAATAAATTGAAAGCAAATTCGGTCCAAGATATTGCTGACATTTAAGTTTTTCTTGTTTAAAAAATAATTTCTTTTACTTTTTCTGGTTTTGTTTGATATTAAATATATTCATGATGAGAGGAATCAATCAGGTGTAAAAAAAGATGCAGATGTTGGATGGGGGAGGGGGTAAATGACAGGTAGGTTGCAGACATATCTTTTTAAAATTTCATAATTTCAGGATCTTGTCTTTCAGGAGTTTGTATTTTCAGGAGTTTGTCTTTCAGGAGTTTGTCTTTCAGGAGTTTGTCATGGCACCATATTTTTTGATAATGTGAAATCTTTTTTAAATGTTGGGGGTAATTTCATGGTGTCAAAGCTTAGGAAGTTTTTAGTTTTTTTCATAGCAGAAAGTGCAAAAGTTAAAAAAATAGTTATTAAAGTTTAATTTAGTATCCAGCCATATTCCCAAGAATCTAACTGAATCTGTTTCTTTTATGCGTTAAATTTTTCGTGTAGTTGCTCCTAGTTTAAAAAAAACATCGGGACAGTCGTTTTGTGCATTTAGAGAATTTGAAAATAAAATTGCATTTGTTTTCTAAAAGTTTTAATAGTAAAATTATTAGACATGTACCAACAAGTTATTTTTTCTAATCCTTTATTCATTAAGAGGAAATGAAGTATAAAGAAAGGTAGATAATTATAAGAAAGACAGAGAAGTTTAAAGAAAGGTACATAATTATAAGAAAGAAAGGAAAGTATCTGAAAGGAAAGGAAGTATAAAGAAAAGTACAGAATTATAAGAAAGAAAGGAAAGTATCTGAAAGGAAGGAAAGTATAATAAAAGGTAGACAATTATAAGAAAAAACGAAGCATATAAAAGGAAAGGAAGTATAAAGAAAGGTAATTCAAAGAAGTAGGAAGGATAAGGGAAGGGAAGAATGAGACAGAAAGGTTTAAACGAAGCAGGAAGGTAAATAGGGAAAAAGAGTGCATAGGGAAAGAGGTAGGAAGGATAAGGGGAGGGAAGAATGATCCAGAAAGGTGTAAACGAAGCAGGAAGGTAAATAGGGAAAAGGAAAAAAGTTGAAAAAATTATGTGAAATAGAATAAAAGAAAAGCAGTATGAAAAAGAAGGGAAATTTAAGTAAAAAAGAGAAATAAGAAAAAGAAAGAGAAGAACAAAACTAACTGGAGAAAGATAGGGAAGTAGAAGTTGGGAAGGGAAATAGAATACATCTAAAAGATCAAATGTGTATTTTTCCTTTTAAAGATAAAGAATAACCGTGTATAATACAAAGTTATAAATTGGAAAATTGTTTACAATCTTTGAAAATTTTTGAAAAGATCTGAATGGATAAATTGGATGGATGGTTGGTCAAATGTTGACTATATTATTCCTCTATAGTCAATAGAATAAAGTAAATAAGATACGGTTCGAAGGGTTTATTATATAGAGACGCATATTTACTTTAAATCCATTAAATTCTGTTTATAAACTATATATATATATATATATAACAAAATTTAAACTAACAACGGAAGTACTTTAAATTCAGTGAGTAACAACAAACATGAGACATTATCAATTTGTATGTTAAAAATCAATATCATTATGTTTAAAATCAATGAGTCTTTATAGTATTATTTAAAAACAAATGTCATCTTTAAAGGGAGTGTTCGCGAAAAATGAGGGGTTGGGGTATAGCTTACGGCGAAAAATAATCGCTTCTGATCGCTACTAATCTAACTTCTATCTGCTGCGTCAAAAAGGAGACTTTTGTTTAAAACTCCCATACAGAAGAACGTAGTGTCCAATTACAATTTCAGAAAGTTGCAACATCATATTCATATTCATATTTTTATTCAACTACAAAGCACGAGATAATACAAATAAAAAAATCACAATTTACTATGTAGTTTGGACCTGCCTAATCAGAGTAGGTTGTTTTAATTGGTTGGCTCACTATAAACGAATGAGAATTGCAGATAAAAACAATGTACATTGTACATTTTAAACATAATAATGATGAAAAATCATAAAAAAGGTAAGGAGGAGGTGAGGGAGTATAAGGGAAAGTGAGGATAATCAACGCAAGGGTTGGAGCAGAGGGTAACATAAGTTCTTAGAATCATGTTTATGAACTACAGGGTGAAGAAGACAGTAAAGACTAAGTTTATCCACATGATACACAGCATTTTTTTACAGATACAATTTGCATAACTATCTAAATAGATATTGGCGACTTTTCTTTTAAAAGATTTTGCAGATTTAGTTTCTTTCAGCTCTAATTCAATTGAATTCCATATTTTTGGAAATAAAGCAGAGGGAAAACATTCTAGAGTTTTAAAGAGAAACCGTTCAAGTTTTATGATTTTGTTACATACGACTCGGATCGTAAAAAAATCTATTTAATTCTAAATAAATCATTCAGATATTACAACTTTTAACCATCGAGAATATATTTAGAAGCTTTCGTATATTTCATAATATTTTTGATTTTCTTAAAAAATAACTTTAGCATACAACTTGTTTTCGAAGATTCCTGGAAAATATGACAATGTCGTCTTCATCATCAAAAATCCTCGAAACAGGAATACAAAATTTCAAAAGTAACTCCCAGATCATATCAAATAAAAAATATTAAGAAAAAAATCAACTATATACGAATGCGTCGAAAAATTATTAATGGTTATGGGTTGTAATATCTAAATGATTTGTTTAAAAATTAAATTGATTATTTTACAATCCGAGTCGAATGTTGCAACTTTCTGAATTTGTATGGACATCACGTTCTTCGGTATGAGACGTTTTTAACAAATTTCTCCTTACAAGACGCAACAGATAGAAGTAAGATTAGTAGCGATCACTATCGATAATTTTTCGCCGAAAGCCCCTTCCCCCCCTCATTTTACGCAAACACTCCCTTTAATTCAATTATGTATCTTTTATATTTCCTAAAAGTCTGAAACGGCAACTCCCGGATTACATAAAAGAAAAATAATATATTTTTATATTTTCATATAAATCGGAAAATTTGACAGATGACATTTTATTAAATGGACATCATAGATAAGGCCTTTAGTAGACATAAAAATGGCTTATTTTTTAAAAAGATTGCCAGCAAAGA